GCTGAACTTTTTTTATTTTAATCATTATAATTATCTCTTCATGATAATAAATTTTAGTTTAGAAATAATTATATATCATATTGGTCAATTTTTCAATTATTATACTTTAGCAATAGTAAATTAGCAATAGTAAAAATGCAAAGATGTAGTATAAATTATAGTATAAATTCTTTGAAAATTATTAAATAATATTATAATTATTAAATAATAATTTTTTTCTTAAAAAAGAAAGATATATCGCAAATATATAAAAAGTCATTGTATTTTTAAAAAAATTAAAGAAAATATACCAAAAGCAACCAAAAGCAAGAAATGATATAAACCAAAAGTTAAGATAATGCAAGTTGTATAAGCCACTAATACTAAGCTATTTATACAACTTTTATATTTTAAATATATATTTATATATAAAAAATGTAATAGCATAAATTAAACATTGAATATTATGATATGTAATACAATTTATTTTATCATGTAACATATTTTATTCATAATATTATTAATCCTGACCAATAACATTGTAATATAAAATACAATATATTTAAATAGTAAATAAAAATGACAGTATAAAAATTATCTGTATATTATTATATATTCATAAGATTATTTGTTTTTTACATAATAACAATTCTTTTACTGCCTTTATCAGTTTTACTTTCTTCTCATAAGTAATTAGAATTAAATCAATTCATCAGATCACATTTTTTTCTTTTCCATTATGCATTTTCGAACTTTCCTCCTTTAATATTATTTTCTACAAAGTTTCTTATCTAAATTACAAATTATAAATTTATTACAAATTTTATCATATTTTGAGAAAGTTTGATGTACAATATTTTATTGTAAACTATTTCATTAACATATTAGTATAATCAGAAATATTTTTAATATTATTTATAATTTTTTTCAGAAAAGATATAAAAAAGTAATGTATCAAATAATATTTGTAAAATTTTTATTTCTCAATTATTTTAAGTAGTAGTATTTATTACAATCTAAAAATTTTAATATTTTATATAAAATTAACAAATTAATATAAAATATATAAAAATTAACAAATTATTTCTTTTTGTTTATTATCTCTACAAATCTTTAAAACATTAGATATGTTTAATAAATTAATAAATTAATAAACTAATAAATTAATATTAATATTTATGTTTTTAATAAAAAAAATATATATATATTATAAAAATATATATATATTCTATTATTCTATTATTCTATTATATTCTATTATATATTATTTTATTACAATTATTCAAATAATAATGATATAACAAAATATGGACTTTATAATTATAAAATACGAACAAATATATTAAATTAAATACATTAAGTAACTAAAAATTTACCTTAAGCTGTTCATAAAAATGCTTAAAAATTTGTTTTTAATAACATTAAGTAGTGTATGTTTCATTTCTTTCCATATCTTTCATATATTCCCTAGAAATTACAAAATTCATTGTCAATACATAAAAATTATATTATGTCTAATTAATACAATATATTATTACCAGACAATTTTGCTTAAGTTTTCTTTTATATTTTCAGACATTGTTTCAATTAATGTGCTGTTTGAATATTTTTCAATAATATTTCTCAAATTTGTAGGATTACTTTGAGTTTGTAATAATATCTCAAGGAGGCCAATATTAACAAGATCGCGCGAAACATCAGGATTTTTAGAACAAGACAAGTATTCTAATATGTTTTCATCTTGTTCAATAAGATACACAGTAAAGAGTTTATTCCAAGTAGACACGTTGGCTTCCTTGATTCCATAACAAAATGTCCATTCTTCTAACTCAGGCGGTACTCTGTATAATAATGTAATAAAAAATTAATTTGCAGTTCTGTCTTAATAAAATAATTCATCAAACATTTTATAATACATTAAAACTTTATGTTATTATAATAAAATTACCTATGTTCTTCAGGATTTTCAAGAAATTCATTTAATTTAATAGCAGCCATCTCTTCACATTCAGAATGACCAAAATTACACGCCCAATATAATGCTTTGGCTCTCTTAAGTTTTGTAAAATCATCTTCAGCAGGATCTTCTTCATATCCTACATTTTTAATAATTCCATCCAAAATATGAAGTACGTATTGCTATAAAAATAATAGAAGAATAAATTTTGTATTTTGCAGATCGTGCTTAATATATTTCTGAGCAAATGATTTCTAGGCTGATTGATATGTTTTTAATGTTGGTAATTTTTTGTTTTTCTATAACTCATTAAATAATCTTTATAATCTGATTAATAGAGGTCGAAAAAAGTACATGTATGTTTTTTATTAGTTAAACGTAATACCTTCAAATCTTCATTTTTTGGATCACGATAAAAATGTTGCGTATAATCTAGTAATTCAAACATAGGATATAATGCTATATAATCCGTTTCCCGGGACAGATAGTGTGCTAGATTCATAAATATCTGGACATCGAGTTGATTTGCCATCATAAAATGATAAGCGTCATCAATGATTTGTACTCGATTGATTACATGTATTTTCGTATAGTTATCAGAATTGAGATAGTTTGCAATTTTTTCCCAATTTGAGGTATCATAATTAACTCGATAGTATCCTATTGTGAAATTAATTAACATTATAGATTATTTATTAGTAAATGATTTTATTAACATTATGAGAAAAGTCAAATGAACAAACGACGAGAAAAAAGACTGTTTTCATAAAATTAAGAACATATTTTATTTAACAATAATTGAAAACAAATGAATATTTTGATCATTAATTTTTCGTAATTTATAATAATCCACAAATCTTAATACGCATAAGAAGTTACTGACAACTGTTTGACACAGAAATCTATTTTACTTCTCATCACACTTAACTGCCTAATTTCCGTGATCTTCCTGTATAAATTCTGTATCTCTCCATTAAATACTTCTTACTATCGGACTAAATATTTATGAAGAAAACTCTATTGAGAAAAATTGTTTGGTTGAAAATGGACAAATCAGAAGATTCTGATTATATTAAAACTTCAGGTTATCTCAACTGTCAAAATTTTAGACAAAAAATTCTGTTTTATTTAATTTATATTAATTGTGTGTGTGTGTGTGTGTGTGTGTGTGTGTATGCACGCATGTATACAAATATAAAATATATTTACCCATTTGTTGTATATTAACTATGATCCAGTCATTTGGATCAATTCCATCAATGCTTATACTTTTATCTTGTGGTCGTAGCCAACGAGTAGGCAAAGTATTGGAGAAATCAGGATTTGTTTGCGTAGCAAAAGTTACAGGTACCCACCACTTATCAGTATCGACGTTCTGATCTTCGTCTTTTGGACGAAAATGTTCCTGTGTTAGTATTATCTCATCAGTATCATTATTACGAGTTACGTATATCACGGGATAATGCCGTTGTTTTAACCAGGTATCCATTACATCTTTTAACTTATAACCGTCATGTGGAACATCTGATTCATCTAGAACTGCTTGCAAGGCCTCACACAAATCATGAGAAGTAGCTGAACTAAACTGACTAAAAATAATGTAAATGATAAATATGATAAATAATATATAATAAATTAATTATAAAGTAGTAATACAATAAATGTGTAACTAATTAATTTATGTTTAATTCTCGAATATTATATATAAAATGTTTAAAAAAGGCAACATCAATTTAATTTTCTAAAGACTTGTTAAAGAATATGAAATATTTTATATTTTTTACATTATTTTTATATTTTTATATACTTATTGCCACCTATTAAAAAAATATAAAAAGATAATGTTAGTTGTATTGTTCTATTTATACATTTTTATATGTATAAATAATTTTAATATGAGATTAATCTTTTACCAATTTCATTTTTCATATTTGACAAATCTATTATTAATAAAAGATTTATATATAATATAATATAATATAAGATTTATATATTAATATAGATTTATATATAATATAATATAATATAAGATTTATATATAATATAATATAATATAATATAAGATTTATATATTACACATATATCTATAAAATAATGAAATATCTTACTTACTGTGTATGTAAATATTTAACGATACCGTTTCGAAATACTTCAGGGCTAACAATATGTTGTAACATGCGCAATATAGCAGGTGCTGCGAATATTAATATTTAAATATAACTGTAATATGTTAAAATTGAACATTTATAAAGAAACTTACCTTTGCCGTAACTTGAATAAGAAAAGAGTGTCATAATTTCATAGGGTTCATTGACTTCAAACATAATAGGTTTCATATTCTTAGCAATATCCATATGAAGAGCTGTTTGCTGAACTTTGATAACGAAGAATTCCATTACTCGCCATTCTTTGAAAATCTAGAAGAATATAAAATTCCAGAAAATTTTAATAAAATAATAATATTAATATAATATTATTACTGCCGTAAAAACAAATAGTTTAAAGAAAAATTTTTTTTGAACTTAATTATATTCTGTAATTATTAATAAAATTGTTCTTTTTTGGTACCGATGTACTTGTATGTTTATAAGTTAAATGTGGAAATACAATTCCAATCTGTCATTTTAATGTTTAATAAAATCTATGATTTGATCTCTGTCAATAAAAATTCTTTTGAATGCATGATTGCATAAGCACAATATATATTGTAACAATACTCAAATCAACCTGATCAAGAATGTACTCTTCGAAGAATGATGCAAATCCTTCATTTAACCACACGTGAGACCACCATAATGGACTAACTATATTACCAAACCATTGATGCGCCATTTCATGTGCTGCTGTTACCGCTACACGTTCTTTACGAGACACTCTATTTTCTTTTTCATTGTACGCAAAGCTGTTTTCGCTAAAAATAATTTTATAAATGTTGTTATATGTTTACAATGTGTGTTGTAAACAAATAATATAATTAATGTTTATATATAATTATATAAAACAAATATAAATATTTTTAAACGCGAAAACGGTTTTGATAATTTGCAGTTTAGAAATGTAAGATTTTTTTCAATTTTTGTAATTCTATAACATGATTTTATTGTATTCTTATATTTTCTGTATTAGACATATTATCTTATTTATTATAATTATTTAACCGAAGGAAGTTTTGTTTTTCCTTAAATCCATTAAATGATGGACTAGTGAAAAATTCAGATTTATTTTCTTGCAGTTTGAATTACACGTCAAACAGAAATATGCGTCGATTAATAATCTAGCAGTATACAAAAATCAAAAAAAGTTTTCAAATTGATAGAAGGGGAACATGATATAAGTACAAAGTGTGTTTTCTTATATGTAATAGTTTTTTTTAAATTACATAACATACTGATAAATGATGAGTCCCCAGTTTTCCATTGCACCTGCGGCGAATTGTGGAACTGCTACGTGATCCATTTTCGGAACTATATCGGTAATGTTAGTATATTCTGTCAATATCTCTTTAGCCTTTTGAGCAACCTCCTGCGCAAGTTTTGAGTGCGGAGCCAATGCTGATCTGCACCACATATTGAGCGTTCCATTTGCTCCGGGAACATTAACATAATCGGACACTACATACGCTACTAAATATGTAGACATAATGGGAGTCTTATCAAAATGTGTCCACACCATGTCGTCTTCTTCTTCCAATTGTTCTCGTACCGGCATATTTGACAAAGCTGTATAATTTCGGTGATGTTTTATGGAGATATTGAAAGTAGCTTTTAATGCCGGTTCGTCCCAACAAGGGAACGCTCGTCGTGCCGAAGTCGCCTCGAAATGAGTTGCGGCCAACCACCTATTATATTTTAATGCACCCGATAATAAATAAATTTATCAACTAATATTGAAACATTTACCTGTAAAAAAAGGTTTAGGGGGTATAAATGTTTATGTGTAATTCGTAAATGATTATACCAACTTGCTATCTGTAAATTATATGTGAATAACAATACTTATCATGTTTTGTAAATCTGTCTTCGATATGCATCGTTTAATTTTTTAATTAAATTTTACAAAAAATGCATCGTTTGCTCCTTTTGAAATTTATTAATTTAATTTTGTTACAAGAATGACGATAAAAGAAATATAAGCAAAAGTAATAAAAGTATAAAAGTATAAAAGTAATTTTATATGGTTTCTAAAAATAAATTTTTAATGATAAACCAAAATTTATTTAGTTTTATTAAAGATATTTGAAAAACTTTTTTGCACTATTTTATTTAAAAAAAAGTGAATATTTAATTATATACTTGAATAAAAATGCAATATTATTATATTCACGCTACATTCGTAGAGACATATTTAATTATATATATTAAAATTAAATTATGTTAAAGTTATAAAAAATAAAAAATATTAAAGATAAAGTAATAGAGTAGTATATGAACTATAGTAATAGTCTTATATTGTATCTTATATGTATTTTGATATATTCAGATGTAATAGTAACATGGGTAGAAAAAATGACTACAATAAATGATGTTATAGAAATAATAAATAATAAATAATAAAGCTTTGAAATTTTAATATCTACTTACACTGCGTTTCCTTCTTCATTAAAGTACCGTGTTCTAAAGAAACCATGCAATCTGTCATTTAAAGTGCCAACAAATTTTATATTGAGATCGTAAATTCCAGGAGATAACTCATCGTCAAAATGAAGAGTTAGGATTTCTGTTCGATTATTATAAGTATGCGCTGTCGGCGTATGTGTAACGCTATCTTTGTCGATCAACGATGTTGCTGTTTCATCGATAGTCAGATCTAGTGCGTGCAAGCTCAAGTTTTTCGTCGAATGGCGAATTTCGATAATAATATGAGTTTTACCATCAAAGGTAAAATTACCCTGTTTGATATACGGTATTATTTCGATATCATAGTGAATTGGCACAACGTTGTCTGATAAACGATAATTAACTGTGTCCGAACTATTCTCTGAATCTTCGTGAGCTTTTGTGGCGCAGAGTATTAGACCCAAACTTACCAATATTTTCAGAAACGACATACTGTCTCGTATCTGTACGTTCTTTATAAAAAAATAAAGGAAATAAATTATAATGTAATCCTTTCTTTCTTTGTTATCTTTTTTTTTGTCATCGTGTTTTTGTGGTTTTCAAAAGTGGTTTTCAAAAAAGAATTTGTTTAAATATCGATACAAACTTTATATCATAACTTTATATTATTTATGTATGTTTCTCTTATATCATAAATAGCAGAGGTAATATAAAAATTATTTTATTTCTAACATAAATGGAAGATTTTAAACAAAAGAATAAATTATTTTTTATTTATGTATCTACAATTGTAATTTCATAAATCTGAATATACATACATAAGATTTGTCTCTTTTAAGTATACTTCTTACATTAAATATTATGCGAAAAATATGTTTAATAATAATAATAATAACACATATTGTACATATTGATAACGTCATTACGAATATTAACTATATTGATATGAATTTGTAACAATTATTGAAAGTCAAACGAAATGCCAATGAAATAATTCTTATATTGTAATTAATTTCTTATTGTTGTAAATGTATACGAGAAATATTTACCTTTCTGTTTTATATATTTATGCCAATAATTACCAAAACTAAGCTGCGAAAACGACAAAACACTACAGAGTACGCCTTACCTCATTCGATAGTAAAATGACTCTAGTTATGAAGCAAATGATTTTTCCTTTTTTATAACATTTTCCAGTATTCGGTATAACAATCAAATGTCGATATTCGGTACGACAATCAACAGTCGTCATCCATTGTTATCTCAAATGTGTCTATAATATGAATAATTTACATGATTGACCTATGTCTCTTATTGCGAAACGATGGTAATGAATTATGTTACATACATTATAATTTTCAAATACATAAGGAATATAAACTAAACGTTTTCGATTATTGTACTTAACATAAAGAAGCTTTTGCTTTATTATTACGACTATTTCACAAAGATTTTGTCATGTAAAATTATTATGAATTTTATTAATATTTACGTAAAATGGAAATTATACTATGTTTTGTACTAGATACATCTAACACAAAACGATAGTTTAAATATATCAGATAATCATTAATCATTTTAAATTTAGAAATACTTATATGTTTGTAAGTGAATATAAATTATATAATGGGATTTTATATGTTTTAATATTGCATAATAAGGATAAAATAATAATTAACAAAATAATCAAACATATGATCGATAATATATATGAGTGTGTTTTAAACAGTATATTTTTAAACAACATATACATTAATGAGATTAAGAATATTGATAATTTATCTATATTTTGGTTTTATCTAGGTAAGGACATGTTTCCGTCAGACTTTGATCATCTCTCCATTTTCTAAAGTTATATTTACATATTAAAAATAAAATAGCATACAAATTTATTTCTAGATATTAAGGTATTCAATACAATATATTTCAATATGTAATACATTTTATTTATAATATAATTATGCTAGTTCATTACACTGTTATATAAAACATATGTTAAATATAATAATATATTTAAATAAATAAGAATTAAAATAAAAGAATTACATATACATTATTACTTATACATATTTATATGTACAAAATGATAATTATCATTGTTTTCTGATAATGATTTTTTTATAGTTTTATTATTTTATATTAAAAACAAGAAAATATATTAAGTGCATTTTCCAGTTCAAGTTTTCTCTCTTCTATTGCGCTTTGAACATTTTTAATTATCTCCTCTTCAAAATTACTTTTCACGAAGTCTTTTATCTAAATTACAAGTTACAATTATTATAAATTTGATTACATATTATATGTATGTAAAAATTTAACATAAATTATTTTGTTATAAAAAATTTTTAATACATTTATAAATAATTGAAATATTATAGATGATTAACTATTATGAAAAAAATAAAAAGATAAATGCAATAAATGTAGAATATAAAATTTTAATTTTGAATTATTTAAAATTTAAATCATAATATTTATCGAAATATTTCTCCTATTTTAAAATTAATGTACTATTAAATTAAAGTAAAATTTGGAAAAGTTACATAATATATTATTGTATTTTGTTTATTACAATCTTTTAAAAATTTGACATTATGTATTTTTAATAAGTATATTTAATAAATATATATATATATATATATTTTGTTGATAAATTGCTATATTATTATTATTATTCTAGTAATGATATTATAGTATTAAAGTGTAGATTTCATACTTATTGATTATGCAATAAAAACAAAATAAAAATTTAACAAATTTGAATTAATTAAATTAATTAAATTTGAATTAATTAAAAATGGAAAATCGAAGATAATTAAATTTACTTTGTTAAGTTGTTTATACGAACACATTTCCAATAATAATATTTAGCGTTCTGCTTTTATTATCGTCCCTATAAAAAAGATTAAAAGATTTACAATTAAAAGAGTTTTAAAATATATATCTTTTATTAACAAAAATGTTACCTTGGAGTCACTTCTTTTAAATGTTCTAACATATAGTTAAGTATTGTATCTTTGTCTAAATGCTTTTGTTATAATATATAGTATATATAATATTACTTAAAATTTGGAGATAATCATCATTCTATATATTTAAATTGTTTATAAAAGTTTTATTAAAAAAGTTAATCAGGATTTCAAAAAATTTTCAGAACAAGTCAAGTATTTTAGTATATTTTCGTCTTGTTTTATAAAATACATATCCAAAAGTTTATTCTAAGTAGACATGTTGGCTTCCATTATTCCATTACAATAAGTCCATTCTTTCAAGTTTGGTGATATTCTATATATATAATGAAAATATCAATATGAATTTCTATATTTTAATAAAATAACTTATCAGTATTTGTATTTTATGTTAAAAATTTTATATGATCATAATAAAATTACCTATGTACTTCAGGATTTGCAAAAAATTCATTTAATTTAATAGTGGTATTTTTTTACATTCATAGTGATCAAATTTACACGCCCATTTTAATGTATCGATTCTTTTAAGCTTTGTAAAATTATCTTCGATAGGATCTTCTTCATATCCTACAAATACAAGTTTTTGATAAATTCATCCAGAATATGGAAAAAATGTTGCTACAAACAGTAAAATTTTGTATTTTGTAGATTGTGCACTTTATGTATTTTTGAACAATTTATTTATAAGGATTTGGAAACATACATTTCTTAGACTTATTTATTCAATTAATTGAATATTGTTTTTTAGTCAAAAAGTAATCATCATATTCTAAATAATTAAATGTTAAATGTACATGTTTTTATTAATTGAGTATAATATTACTTACCTTAAAGTATATTCTCTGGAATTTGACAAAATTCTTCCAAATAGTAACATTCTAAACATTACACATATAATGCTATGTAATCTATTTCTCGAGATAAATAGTTCGTTAAATGCAAAAATATTTGAATATCGAATTGATTTGCCATCATAAAATAACAAGCGTCATCAATGATTTGAGCTCGATTAATTACATGTATCTTTGTATAATTGTCTGAATTAAGGTAGTTTGCAAGTTTTTGCCAATTTGAATTATCGTAATTAACTCGATAATATCCTATTATAAAATTAATTAATATTCTAGATTGGATTATTAAACGCTTTTATCAGAACGCTTTTATAAAAAATTTTTTTAAACATTTATTCTCATATTTACAACACACACACACACACACACACACACACACACACACACACACAACAAGTAAAGTAAAAGTACGACTATTTACTTTACTTTAATTTCGTTACTTAGTTCGTACGTTACGTAAACTTAAAATTTAAAATTTTAAATTTAAAGTTTAAGGTTAAAATTAAATTTAAAAATTTAAATTAAAGTTTAAAAACTTTTAAAAACTTTTAAAACTTAATTTTTAATTTTACTAAAACTTAAAACTTTAAACCAAAACCTAAACGTTTAAAAAACCTTTTAAAACCGGTTTTTTTAAAACCCTTTTTTTTAAAACCTTTTTAAAAAAATTTTTTTTAAAAAAATTTTTTAAAAAAATTTTTTTAAAAAACTTTTTAAAATTTTAAAAACTTTTAAAATTTTAAATTTAAAACCTTTTAAACTTAAAATTTTAAAAAATTTTAAAAAATTTTAAAAACGTTTAAAAAGTTTTAAAAGTTTTAAACCTTTTAAACCCTTTTAACTTTTTAGGTTTAGTTTAGTTTAAACTTAAGTTAGTTACTACGTACGTATTAGTAGTTATATATATATTATTACTTTTGTTGTGTGTGTGTGTGTGTGTGTGTGTGTGTGTGTGTGTGTGTGTGTGTGTGTGTGTGTGTGTGTTGTAAATATGAGAATAAATGCAATACTAATTGATCCAGTCATTTGGATCAATTCCATCAATGTTTACATTTTCATTTTGTGGTTTTAACCAACGAATAAGTACAGTATCGGAGAAATCAAGATTTGTTTGCGTAGCAAAAGTCAAAGGTACCCACCATTTATCATCGACATGCTCGCTTTTGTTTTGTGGATGAAAAGGTTCCTGCGTTAATATTGTCTCACCAGTATCATTATTACGAGATACGTGTATTATGGGATAATGTCTTTGTTTTAACTAGGTATCAATTACATCTTTCAATTTATAATCATCATGTGAAACATCTGATTCATCTAGAATTGATTGCAAGACGTTCCATAAGTCATCGGAACCAAACTGACTGAAATAATGTAAAAAATAAATGTAAAAGATAAAATAAAAATTTTATATTCTTATTCTTATTCCTACTTTTTTCCACAATTGTTTAACTAGAGGAAATTTTGTTTTATTCAAGTGTAATAGAGTGACAATTAACGGCAAGGTCAGATCTCTCTATTATCTTATGATATTTTTGTAACCGCAAGTTGATCTCGAATATGTGTGGATCAACAATCTATATAAAAAAATTGCAAAAAGTATAAATTTGTGATGCAAGAAGGCTATATAAGTACATGTTGATCTGTTAATATTTCTTCTAAGTTATGTTGCCTTACACATAAATAATGAATCCCCAATTTTTCGTCGCACCAGGTTTAAATTGTGGAAACTGCTATATGATCCATTTTCGAAACTATATAGGTGCTGTTGGTATATTCTGTCAATATCTATTTAGCCTTTTGAGCAACATTCTGCACAAGTTTTGAGTACGGAGCCAATGCTGATCTATACCACATGTTAAACGCCATTTCATTTGCGCTAGGAATACTAACATAATCCGACACTACAAACGCTACGAGATATGTGGACATGACGGGAGACCTGTCAAAGTGCGTCCACACTACGTCATCTTCTCCATCCGATTGTTCCCGTATCGGCATATTTGACAGAGCCGTGTAGTTTCGATGATGTTTTATGGAGATATTGAAAGTAGCTTTTAATGCCGGTTCGTCCCAACATGGGAACGCTCGTCGCGCGAAAGTCGCTTCGAAATTCGTTACGGCCAACCACCTATCACATTTCAACGTTTTCGATAACGGATAAAATCATCAGCTACTGTTAAAATGAGCGAAATGTTAAACTGATTAAACATGGATTGTAAATCACATTTGAATAATGTATGATGTTTGTTGTAATCTGGTTGCGACATGCATCATTTGATACTTTCGAGTGAAATTCATGAGGCAGGTTCAAGGAGGATTTTTCAGAAATTTGTTAGTCTAATTTTAGTAGAATAATTATAATAATGGGAATAAACATAAATTTATAAAATGCAAAGAATTTAAAAAATTAATTTTTTAGTTGTAATAAGAAACTTTCTTTATTACAAACATTTAAAATAATATTTTAATTAAAATTTTCTGAACAATTGTATAATAAATAGTGCTAAATTTAAATAAGATAATAAATAAAATGCGATTATAAAAATATATTTACAAAAAAATGTTTATAATTATATAAAGTATTACACACAAATTAATGTCTATTGAGGCTCATGTGAATTGTAAAAGTAGATAATTATAAATAATATTACAAGAAGGATTATTAATAGATAATAATTGAAATTTGAAATTTTACTCACACTCTGTTTCCTTTTTTATTGATATATGCTCTACGATGCTCTGAAGAAGCCACGCAAATCATCACTTAAAATATCGATAAATTGTATACTGAAACTATAAATTCCAGGGGATAACTCATCTTCAAAATGGAGAGATAACATTTGTGTTTCATTGTTATATTTATGTGCTATCGGCGTATGAATAATAATATTTTTGCTGATCAACGATCGCTGCTTCATTAATCTTTAAATCTAGTGCATTCAAACTTAAATCTTGTGTTGCACGACGGATCTCGATGATGATGTGGGATTTACCATTATAGGTAAAATTACCCTCTTCGATATATGGTATTAATTCGATGTCGTAATGAATTGGCACTACGTTGTCTGGTAAACGGTAAATTAATTGTCGTAATCAAGTCATTGTATCTCCGTCAACAGGTAGAGCCATTGTCGCGATGAATATTAGACCAATGTTCAACAATATTTTTAAAACCGTCATACTAATTATCTTTTTTATACTCCACAAATTTAAAAAAAAATTTATTTATCTCCACAAATTTAAAAAAAAATATAAATATTATCGAGAGAAAAAATAAAAAT